ACTAGTTATAAATTATAAACCTTTAAATACAACTTTAAAATGGATAAGACATCCAATCCCCAATAAAAAAAATTATTAAATAGATTACATAATGCTAAAGTATTTTCCAAATTTGATATGAAATCTGGATTCTGGCAAATTCAAATTAATGAAAAAGATAAATACAAAGCAGCATTCATTGTCCCTTTTGGGCAATATGAATGGAACGTTATGCCCTTTGATTTAAAAATGTCCCATACGAATTTCAAAGAATAACGAACGACATTTTTAATTCATATTCTGATTATATCATAGTTTATATAGATGATGTTTTAATATTCTCCACAAGTATAAAACAGCATTTTAAGCATATCAATCATTTTATTAATGTTGTGAAAAAGAATGGTTTAGTAATTTCACCTACTAAAATAGCTCTTTTTAAAACAAAGATCAGATTCCTAGGACATTATATCCATTTAGGAACTATCAAATCTATTGAAAGGTCAACAGCATTTTCAGACAAATTCCCCCATGAAATTAGAGACAAAACCCAGCTACAAAGATTTCTTGGAAGTTTAAATTATATAATGAATTTCTTCCCCCATATCAATATAATTTGCAAACCTCTTCAGCAAAGTCTCAAAAAAGATCCTCCACCTTAGACCTAAATTCATACTGACATTGTGAAAAAATCAAATACAGTATTAAAGAAATTCCTTACATATTGCCGATCTTTCTGCTTTCAAAATCGTAAAGACTGATGCTTCATAAATTGGATATGGAGGAATTCTCAAAGAATTGAAAGACAACAAAAAACAAATTGTTCAATTTGTCTCCAAACATTGAAATGACTGTCAAAAGAATTACTCCACCATTAAGAAAGAAATTCTTGCTATTGTTTTATCTATATCCAAATATCAAGGAGATCTTTAGAACCAAAAGTTTTTATTAAGAATTCATTATAAATCTGCCAAGGATGTTTTGCAAAAGTATGTCTAGAATACTGCTTCCAAACAAATTTTTGCCAGATGACAAGCTATTTTATCTGTTTTGATTTTGATATTGAATTTATAAATGGTGCTTCAAATTCTTTATCATATTTTCTTACAAAAGAATTTTTAAATGGAAAATGCCTCCTCCCAACAAACCTACCTGCCGAGACAAAGGCAAAGAAATTGTCGAAATCTCACAGAAAAAACCAAGTGGCCTAACCAATGTTAGGATTTGGCTTCAAGCTGTCCAAACCATCTTTGAATACTACAATTTCCAACCAGGTTAAAGAAGAACCTATCTCCCCATCCACTCCCTTCGATATTTCTAAAATATCTCATGAAGAAGCCCTAAAACTTCTCCAACAGCTATAGTGAAGACTGATTCTTCTTCCAACCAAAAGGTACTAGGAAAAAGAATTTCTAGTGAGGTGGTTATTCAACCAATCAAGGCAACCTCTCTAAAATCAAAATTTTTTGCCAAAACAATATTTCAAAATATATTGAATGTTCAAAATGGGTTTTACCATGAAGACCCAAACATATTTGCAAAAAGTATGTTTTCTGACAAATTTAACTATACTCCGCATGACCCATACAAAATAGTGGAGTTTTATGAAAACATATTGATAGAATCCAAATCTGTAACTTTCAAACATTTTTCTGATAAAGGTTACATAAATTACTTCACAGCAAGAATCCATAAGGTCATCCACCCTTCCCAATGGAAACCATACCCTATAACTTTGATAAAATTTGATACCAAGATAACCGAACCCTTACCATACAAATCCTCTTATTCTGATTTTAATTACTAACAAGCTTGGTGGAATACCTTTTGGAGAAAGAATGCCAACTCTCATACTTGGCTATTCTTCTTTGAAAATTTCGATATTCAACAATGGTGGGACCATTTTGGACCCATTGACGAAATACTTCACCTCAAAGTTCTACCCAGTTACGAAATATTTGCTAGCCAGTTCACACCCCTTCAATATGAGACGAAATTTCCTAAACTGATGCTTTTTCTATTATTTCGGAGTATCATGAGTATTGGGCCAGAATTTTGATTACAGAAAAGCCATAGAGACGGGCATTCCCATCTTAATCAGAAAATTCAAGGTTAGGTGATGGGACGGTTTCAAATTTTTCGAAAGTCACTAAGCAAGTAGTCAGAGAATGGCTGAACAAAAAAATTACTCCAAGTCCGAGCCAAATTACTTGCTCAGATGATCACTCCTTTCATTCATGATAAAGGGATTGTTCTTTCCAAACTAGCATCTGCCAAGTCAAATCAGCAACTAGCAGATATGCTGAAACAAGCCCTTTCTCATTTAGAAGAATCAAGCTCAACTCACTCTCATCACAGCGGAAATTCAAATGAAGACGATTGCTATGGCATACCAGGCGTCCAATGGGGAGATGTGAATGATGAAGAGGAAGAAAACTCTCCGAAATCTTTGTCTAGATTTTGAAAAGATGCAAAATTTGCCTACTTTCACAATTAGATGCCGAAATCCTGCCAAAATTTGAATTGTCAAAAAGGAATCGAAAGATGTTCCAACTTTTCATCATTGTCTGCCATCATCACTGTAACACTGTACACTTTTGACTTTTTAACTTTTACTATTCACTACAGTAAATAACCCATGAACCTTTCTACAGTCACTAAAGGAGTCTTTAAAAGGACCCCCTTTCATCAAAAGAGGGCATCGTCCACTCTACAACTCCACTTTCATATGCTTTAGAATCCCTTCTTCACTTCTAAGGGAGAACCAGAGAGCTTTAGATTTCCACATCTTATATCCTGGTCTTACTTGTCCCTGATCCCTTCCTGGAATCCCATCCAGTAAGTTCTATATCCACTTTTATCCCTGTAACATCTTTATAATCCAGATCTCACTCGTGATTTAACGTTACAAAGATTTTCATTTCATTTCAAATTGCACTTGTATTTTCAATTTCTTTCCATACTGCAACTTTCAATTCGGTGTAATTTAATTTTTGAAATTTCAATACAAGCTCATACCACCTATATGGTTGGTTTTCTTTAATTAGCTTAATCTTTAATTAATTGCAATTTATATTACAGTAATTTAAATATCGCATACCCCATAATCAGTAGGTCTCACCGCCTGTGGTTTGTTTGCTCATTATTTAATTTTGACGCAATTTTCTGCGTTTATTATATATCCTTACTTCTTCTTACCGTTTTACTATTTTATCTTAATGCTCGCTCTTTTATTTAGTTTTATTTTATTCGTAGCCATAGATCCTTTTTACTTAGATATCAAAACTATTAATAATTTGTTTGATTTTATTGATAATTTAATACAAATCATAGAACTTTATCAAACCTCTTGTTCTAATTCATATTCGTCCACTCTCTTCAAAAGAAGACGCAAAGATTATTAGAATACTACCAATATCATTCTTTCACTAACTTATAATCCCCAGATCCTAGGACACTTATGGTATTCTCTAGTTTGTCCAAACTAGCATATGTCCAACAATTTTCTACCAAGGTGACCAATTTATATATCTATCATAAGTTGGCCGAGGATCTGGGGATTATAAAGAGAAGAAATTAATAGAAGAGTAAAAGGACTTTATAAACGATTTTGAGTCTATACTCAATATAAAGTATGTAATCTATATATTGAGAAATTCTTATGTATATATCAAATGAGTCTCTTGATCTTGCTATAGAAAAAATAAATTCTATTATAAAAGTGATTAGCTCTACACAAAAGACTATGATATAAATAAAATTAAATAAAAAAGCGAGCATTATAATTTATATAGAGACCATAAGTAACATATAGAATTAGAAGCAAGATTACTAAACCAACCATGTAGGTGGTTAAGATAAGCAGAAATGAATGCAGTAAATTGCCTTATAGTAAAAGACAGACCAACCACAGGCGATTCAATCAGCCAATTGTGGGGTATGTAAATTAAATTACAATTAAGTAAAGATTACTGGTATATAAACAGTATTGAAATATTACAACTGAACTGCAAATATAAAAGGTACAAGTGTGAAAGTAAATAAAAGCCTTTGTATTTTCAGATCATGAGCAAGACCTGAAACATAAGGTGATTCAGGGATGTTATGGAATCTTAAGGAAGTAATGAGACTTACTGGTTATGGAAAACTAGAAAGGTTGAAGGGTTTCTTGAGATTTATGATCTCTTATTCTTCAAATAAGGACCGAAGAATCTAAGAAAACTCGAGAGGGTTTTTGAGATATATGGAATTCTGAGTGAAGAATTGTGTGTCCTTCACTAAAGGATAGGGTCTGAATATATAGACTGACTGGCTAGTTTATGAAAAGGGTTCACGAGTGGTACTGTAGCGAATAGTAGTAAGTGCACAGTGTTACAGTGAATAGAAGCAATTATGAAAGTTTATAAAAAAAAGAGAAAGAGGACTGACAGAGAAGACTGACGGACTCCTTTCGGTCCTGAACCAATTTATGAAAGATGGACTGGGCAGGAATCTTTCGACGCCTTTTGTCTTTCAAAATCTGGAGAGATCTTCCGATGGCTCTCCTTCTTCTTCATCCTTTACATCCCCCATGGAATGGCTGGTATGCCTAGGACGCCATAATAGTCATCCTCATTGGAATTTCCGCTATGATGAGAATGAAAAGAACCCGAATCTTCAATTTGAGAAAGGGCTTGTTTTAACATTCCTGCTAACTGCTGATGAGATCTAGCAGATACTAGCTTTGACAAGACAAACACTTTATCATGTAGAAATGGAGTGACCATCGGAATTTAAAGGAACGGGTCCCCTAGAAATAAACCATTGGGTAACGGCTTGTTCAGTAACTCTATCAAAGAACTTGAAGCCATTCCACCACTTGACTTTGAAACGTTTTATTAAAATGGGAATGCCTATGTCAATGGACTTGCGGTAATCAAAATGCTAGCCTAGTACCCACGATATCCCGAAGTGGTAGAAAAATAGCATCAGTTTGGGAAAATTATTTTACTAGACAGTCCAGTAATTCATCATACCCAGGCAGCATCATCCTATTTGCCAAATGTAGTATTGCCATTACAGTGTCATCATGACTATACCATCTAAAGATATAACCCACCATTAACCATAAATGACGTCATTACATACTACCAGTTTTCCTTTTTTATCGTCGTCATTATTTTTGAAGATCAGTTTCTCTTGCATAGCAAGAGGAAGATACCATTAATACGATAGCCCATATCCACAGGTCACAAACCTCAAAAGCAGGAGCAATCACACCTCTTCCCTTGAAAATATTTCCAGGACACTTCAAAGCTATGTCCTCGGAAACAAATCCAGTTCCATCAGTATGTATAAGTGGCTTTCCGTTCTTATCATAGATGCAATTTCCCTCTTTATCCTGCTATTAGACAGGAAATTGACCATACTAAGCATTGGAGCGAACTAAAAGAATACCTTTAGATGACACCAAGTTTTCATTCACGAAATAATCAAAAGATAACACCTTGCAATCCTTATCCTTAATTCTCTCAATCGTCACTCGATTCCAGTCAACTTCCAAGCTAACGGTCTTGGACAAGACAAGAGACAACCTGTTTATTAGCAGATGCACGTCATTAGGATATAATATAGTTCATGCAAAGTTCAGATGAAAATCTTCTACAGCAACGAACTGTCTCATGTAGCGGGATATGCTGGACACTGTATGTGCATGCATGAAGAAGCATCTCGCTTCATGTACTGTTTTCTTTTCTTTAAGTGCCTCGCACTCCATGCAAACAAAGTAACACCTCACAGCGGATGTAGTAGGGTCGCTTTTTTTCTCTTCTTTGCCTCCATCCTTAAACACTATCAGCAAGGATGAAAGATTTATTGGCAGTTCAACATGTATTTAAGCTCTCATTGCAGCAAACAAGGCTCCAAAAACTAAGATGAAACAAATCTCTGTTAAGCATGCCATACAATTAATAACAAAAGAAAAACGGAAAAATACTTTGTGAAATAGAAACCAAGATAACCAACATATGAACGCTCGTATGTGCTGATGCAATTATCATGACTGCGCATCTGGTTCTAGACGCAAACCGAGCATAAAAAATGTCCAGAAAACGTATACAGACCGGGGGGAAGAGTATTGCGTATTGCATAGTGTCAAAAGAAAAAAGCTAGCAGAGGCAAGGAATCCCCACTCCGGCGCTTTACTTAGGAACATGGATGGGTAAAATCATTGTCGAATGGAAAACAAGAAACATGATTACAACCAAGATTCATCTAATTAGGATACAAGTTTTCCCAACAAATTTAAGACAATACAGAAATTTTGGCAAAATAACAATAAGATTGAATTCTGAACTTGTGCTCTCATATAATGCTGGGAAGCTGCTTGTCCCAAGAGTTCAAGCAGTCAGTAAATGAATACATAATGCACATAAGTATACATCTACACTTAAGAAATTTCATTTTCATGCTTTTAAATTTGCTCTGAAATTTTGAAAATGGAAAAAAGAATTGTTTTTTTAATACTGTATAAAAATTGTAATGATTATACATGTCAACATTCGTATATTCTGAAAAGTTACATGTAATGACTATGCATGTCAACATTGTGAGATCAACAAGATTTTATAAAACTAAGAGTTAATAGGAAAGGTCATTCCAAACAAAATCTACATTTCCCAAAGAGAGAAAAAGCAAAGGGAGTGTGGAACAAAAGAATAAATGACTACAAGCAAACTGCAAACTCATGCTTGTGTGAAGCTATATTTTCCATTTCAACATTAAATAACAGTGGAGAGCTGTCAACAATTTATACATTAGCCCAATACAAGCCATAACACAATATCATGACCGATTTTTCTGATTCCTTTTATCATGGTTGTCTTATTTGATGATACAAATTGCTCACAAATTCACATCTTCTGATAAACATCATAATAAAAGCTTAAGAACATACAAACAACGAACAAAACCGCACACAAAGAGCACAAGCAATGAAAATTACCGAAGAACTTGTATTGACGCAAACCAACAGGAATCCCTTCCTTTGCAATCTTTCTATACATAGTAAGAGTATCATCCGACATCTCTTCTGCCAACTTGACAAGGAGAACATTCTCATCTCCTAATGCCTTTTGTAGAAGTGTTCTCGTATTATTAAGGTAAGGTCCCTGAATGCGCACACAGAGTCTCGAGCATCATCATTAAGAAGCTAAAATCATAAGGAATTTGTTCAAAAGTGCCCATAGGGAACTTTCTTAACAACCAAATAAGGAAACTTTGTAATATCCGAATGCATTGCTTTACTTGTAATACGTGTAATCACTGCTTTGATAATTAGAACCTTCTTATGCTTACCAAATGCCCTTGGGCAATTGATACCAGGATCCAAAAAGTCAAACCACATTTCTTTTTGGCACCAGAAGAAGCTGACCGGTGAAATAAACAGATGGCACAGAAGAAAAAATAAACACAGTCTTTATAGCAGTAAAGAACACAACTTCAAAGCACATTGTTCTATTGCATTTTTCCTCTCTAAATGACTCAATCATATCATGATTAATATATCAGATGACCAAGCCAGTGTTAGCCAACTTCGAAGCAGCAAGAGCCAAATACAGAAAACGCGGTGATTAAGATGCGAGTCGGCATTCTGCCAAGGTGCACCAACCAATGCCACTTACAATCTTTTCAATTAACAGATCACCCATTTGCTAAATTAAACTCAAATTTATTCTATGTATTTTACGCATGCTGATAACTACAATATACAGGGTGAGTGCGAAAAGAGGAAAAAGAGACTAAGTGATGCACTAATCCCACTCTCTGGAAAAATCATTTCCACAACTTAGTTGGGAAGAAAGAGCCATTGCTGATATAACCTAAGAGTCAGAATTCAAGGCTTACAGTATACGTTCAAGAGAAAAGCCAAGAAACTTACTTTAAAATGATAACACCCCTGAGGTGAAACGTGACAATGGTAGAAGTGTGTCCTTCCAGAATCCCAGTCAACATGCTGAAAGCAGCAACAACACAAACACCGAAAAAGTTTCAGGTGACACATTAATCAGAATTATTAAGAATATTAGGATAGATAACTAGAATAATCTTCAAAAAGTTTGGATATTTTATCCCTTTCCACTTCAAAATAAAATAAAATTAGCACATACACAATTTGTTCCAGAACCATGTATTCCTAAGCTCAAGTATCTCTAACTACCACCGTTAATACCTAACATTGCTTAGTTCAGAATTAAGTTTTGTACATTAAACATAAAATTTAGCACCAATTAGTCCAAGAGATCAGTTTCAACTAAGATGTCATCATGTTTATTCTACAGGCACCTAGAATGAGAGATGTAATGGAATTAATGAAATTTTTTATTATTTGTTTTGATATTGGCATTGACAAGTGAAAAGAGGTTAGGCCTTTCATTCTCTTTAAAAATATCTGCAAATTTAACTCGTTTAGTCAAACAAAGAAATCCAAATATGAAAAAGGATGAAGTAAATGGCTGACTTCTTCACTATTCTAACATATTATATATATGAGGAGCTTGTGGAGACAACAAAAAAGGGACTCTATTACAAGAAAAGTGGAGAAACTGCCATGAGAGCTGACATAGAGAGACAATACACAGCTAGAGAGTGTCCACACCACATCCATGCATGCCAGCAAAAAAAACTTTGAATAGTGATGAAAGTGATTCTTCTAATTGTTAAATGCCACATACTACGCAACCCATTATGCATTAGTGATAAGTTCAACAACCACAATTCTCACGAAAAAGCTTCATCCTTGCCAAACAAGCACCGTGGCTTATCATTCTTGTCCAATTATTTTAGATTTTCAAAAGAAATTACAAAATGGATCACATTCATTTAACACTTTTTTTATAAAAGAAAATCCTAGTGACATGCAAATGCTAATGTCAAGCACTCTTTTGTCCTTAAGGTGATGCGAGCAGTGTGATGCGCTAAACATCTAAATTAGAAACATTATGAATCGTATTGCTCAATTTAATATGTGAGAGAACAAACCACAAAATCCAACAAACCTTAAGCTCTATTGGTACTGCTCACCTAAAGTTATTTATATGGGGTATAACCATCCCAACCGAGCAGCATTGCCATCATGTTCCCAAATCAAATGATTAAAAAAATTCCTATTACCACATTCCAACACATAAGGATCGTTGCATTAAGAGATTATATGTCCATGCAAACTCAAACTAACCACTCTTTCCTCATTCATTTCTAAACTAACAATTAATTATACACATCAGAACACAGGTTTTTACTTCCCATCATCCATTGCAAGATGTTAGAGACAATATAATGGAATACTACACAAACCATCATTAATTCCCTCATGATACGTGATCTACAATACTCATCCTGTTTTACAGTAAATTTGCAATTAAACACTTGTATGAACATTTCTAGCATTGTATAGTAATAATAAGCACACTTCCATATTTACATATAAATATGTATAGATACATTCTCTCTCTCTCTCTCTCTCTCTCTCTCTCTCTCTCTCTCTCTCTCTCTCTCTCTCTCTCTCTCTCTCTCTCTCTCTCTCTCTCTCTCTCTCTCTCTCTCTCTCGAAGGCGCGCATGCACGCGCATTTGTGTATTTTGGCCATTATTTTCTCAAATATTTATAATATGTATCAGACAAGAGTTTTTTGATTTAGGACATTTTACCAAATCATCTGGCAAGCATATCATGCTCAAATTAAATATATTATAATGGCCAATGCCTCTCGTATCACTTTCCTAAATAATACCATTCCACGTTTCCAATTTTAATCCACATATCAAAATGATCCATGCTCCAAGTCACTTCATAACAATCTGCCTCCCAACAATTGAGGGACAATTTCCGAAATGAAAAGAAGGGACTAGTTTTGGAAACAATGGACAAATGAAATCGCTTCCTAATGGTTACCAGACAACGGTCATCTTTCTCGACATGAGACTGTCCAATGGCATTCCAGACTGCTGCCTCAAATTCAAACATTCTGAGATCTTTCAGCTGTCTAATCCTATCACTGTCTATGGCATCTTCAAGATTTCCTCTGCATAACATAGCAACCCAATACTCTAGATATGCAGAGCTGACAACATTCAGACAGAGCAACTGAGAAGAGAACTTACTCCCCAATGTAGTTTAGAATGAGAAATGCTTTTCTAAACTCCAGTTCGCTCAACGCCTTCATCTGGGGGCTAACTGCTTGTCCATTCCAATTTTGCAAACTCGGAAGAAGTCTCGGACTTCCAATCTGTTGATCTCGCACAGGAGAGCTTGCAAATCCATTGTCTAGCAGAAGAATACCCAGCTCAAATTTTGTGTACAAACTTTGAACAAACTATCTTGCCGGACAAATAGCGCCAGAAGATGAAAAGAAGATGCAGTCTTGAGCATTATTCTTTTTTTTCAATTTCCAAACAAAAACACAAGTAACCAGAGGCCATTTTATACGATTCAGTCACTCTCACCACAAAAACAGGACAATGAACATAAAACAAGGAAAACCACCGTGTCAGTAGATTCTTTTACGCATACATTGAGCATACTTTGAACAATCCATGTTCATCATTATACACAGGAAGACAAAACATGACATGTAGGAAGCAAGTTTTCCATTTCCCAACAATAAACACCGGCAAACAAAGGCGATAGTACAACAAAAAAATATAGTTCAGTCGCTCTCATCACAAAAATAGAAAAAAAACTACCATATAAAAACGAGAGGCTGCGTCACCTCATGCAACACTTATGTCTTTGCTCACCAGTCACTATCGTCCCTCCGAACATGTCAATCCTCCAAAACGAATCAAATCGGATAATCTAAACAAGATGTTGACACCGCAAATGGTGATAACAAGTTGTTATTAACAACGCAACTTCCAAATTTGCGATGCTTGACCGTCCCCTATTGCTCTAATTTCTCCGAATTACAAGCACAAAAATCACCAGCACGACCTCCACACAACCAAAAAAATAAAAAATAAAAAGAACGAAAGCTCCACGAAAAAGAACATCACTGACGGGCCGGACTTTGATCATTCAAGGACATGCGAGCGATCTTCGACGGAGACGGCGAGGGACAAGAGCCGGCGCCGGCGCAGGTGCCGCTTTCGATGATGCGGGAGATCAAGCCGTCGATGGACCACTTGATTTTCGTCGCGGCTGTCGACCTCAGGACCCGAAGCGCGGCCTCTTCGTTGAGCGACGCGAGCTTCCTCCGAGTCGACGCGTTCGGGGGAGGCTGGTTCTGATCAGTGCAGATTCGGCGTATCGCGTCCTCGACGGAAAGAGGAAGCGGCACCATCTGCGAAGGCGAAGCGTTCATGGCGGTCGACGAGTGTGTCTCAGAGAGAGAGAGTGAGTGAGAGGTTTCTGAGCTTGATCGATCGCGACGGAGAGACGGTGTTCGAATTTTCCGGGGAAAATCTGAAATCAAAATGGAGAATGTCGACACCTCCTTTCCATTTTCTCGTTCTCTTTTTGGGGCTTGGGTACGGAGAAAGCGCAGAGTGTAGCGTGAAACTGGGGAAATGCTGCAACGTTGCCGGTCGGGTCGAGTCACGTCAAAGGTCCTTGTCTGAAACCAGGAGCAGATAATTGCACTTGTCCGTTTTCGCTCGGAAAGCAAAAACTTTTGCACTGATTTTCATTTCAAAAGTTCAGAACAGCCCCCAAAATTCAAAATTACGAAAAAAATTTAAATATGAATTTTTCGTGCCGAAATTGACATATCATAAAAGTTCCAAGTGTTTCGATTTATGAAGAAATCAAACCATATCTGCCGCAAGATTTAGATTAAAGCTCCGTTTATTTAACGGAAGTGAAATTTTTTTTCTAGAAAATGATAATATTTTTCTGTTATTTGATTGAAATCTAAAAATGAAATGAAAAATATTTCCCATTGTTCGATAAGAAAATCAAAATTTCCTAAATAGATATATATTATTCAGGCATTAATGATTTTCGCATTGACAGCGGGGGAACGGGGTACGGGCACTAGGGTCCCAAGTCCAACCTCAATGGACCCCAACCTAGGCACCAAGGACCGATGCACGGGCTCCGGGGTCCCGAGGCGCATGTATCAGGGAACTGGGCTCAGGCACTGCGGTCTCGGGGCCGAACTCGATAGACACGAGCCCAACCTCGATGAACCTAGGCGTAGGCGCCAGGGTCTTGAGCTTGGCCTTGATTAATCCAAGCAAGCGCCGGTGTCCCGGACCTTGGCATGGGCTAGGGACCTACGTAGGGACGTCGTCTCGGGCCCGACCACCAGGGTCTCGGGCATGAGCATCGAGATCCCCGGCTAGGCCTCAATGAACACGAGCATGGGCATTAGGGACTTGGGCCTGGGTGCCGAGGTCCTTGGCCCGGCCTCAATGGACACTGGCCAGGGTGCTGGGGACCTCGACACTAGCACCGGAGTGACGATCCCAACCTTGATGGACTCAGGCTCGAGATCCGGTCCCTAGTGCGAGGTCTCGAGCCCAAGTGCTACGGACCTAAGCCTGGCCTCAATTAACTTGGGTCCGGGTGTTAGAGATTCGAGCATGAGCACCGGGGTCACGGGTCCAGTCTTTGTGGAGCTAGGCCGGGGCTCCGGGGAGTTGGGCAATGGCACTGGAGTCCTAGGCCTAGCCATGGGCGCTGGTATCTCGAGCCCAACTTCTATGGACTCGGCCTCTTTGGACCTAGGCTTGGCCTTTATGGATCCCAATGAATCTTGCCCCGGCTCGGAGCCGATGCCAAGGGCCCGAGAACAAGCGTTGGGATTTTCGTGTCCAAACGTAAGGTTTTTAGTCCAAGCACCGATATCTAGTCATATTTTGGAAAACATTTTCCGTTAACTCATTTTCCTAAGCAATTTAAATACCATAAAATATTTTTCTAAAAAATGTATTCTGCAAAACAAATGGAGCCTAAGCGAAAAGTTAAAAACAAAATCTATCTGGGCAAACCAAATTATGCAATAGCTCTTCTTGCTTTGGAAAAGTAATTATGCAATTTACAACACCTATTTATTAAGTAGCAACTGAAGTATTTATCGATAACCCCTTCTTCTCTCACTTCTTCGAAAGCGTAAATATTGTCCCAACACTAAAATAAGTTTTTAACATATACTTTTATAATATATATATATATAGCCGCCGTCATCCTATTCTCGGAGGCTATACCGAATGAATTTAACAAAAAATAAAAGTGGGCAAGCCGCAAATTCATGATAGAATTAAAATAAAAATCACATTAAAGATCCCACTCAAGTGTCGAAGTCGATTGTGTTCTTAATCATCATTTTGCGTCCGTACCTTGTTAAATTTTGGTAGCATCATTCTCACTTGTTTTTTCATCTAATCAAATTCAATCATCCAAGAAATTTTCACGAGAAAAAGAAGCTCCATCTCTCTTAAGAGAGAGGTGGGTGTACTATGGCTGGTTCAATACACCCCACGGCTCCCGCACGAATGGAATCAAAATTACGATGTCTCATGTGAGAGCAAAAATAATTTATAAGCACGATCACGGCACGTGATATGAACAATCAATTCCAAAAATTTCTACGAAGAAGAGAGATAGTTTGTTTGTACCGTTTCACAAAAGCACCGTCGGCTTACTTTTCTAAACTGCCATCGATACTTGTTTTTTGTCAATTTCATATACAAAAAACTAGTAAAAAAGATTACATGCGATTTTTTCGAAGAAATTCTGAATGCGCTGCGTTAAACAAAAACTAAAATGTGAAAACTACAAAATTAGGATAATAAGAGCGAAAACCTAAAAGATTTTCGAATGAAAGTCGGCCCAATTCCTTAAATAACCCCAAACTTTAGCCTTTGTCCCAATTATATCCCAAACTTTTTTTTGTCTCATAAAAAACCCCAAACTTTTACTTTTGTCCCAAATCTACCCCGCTTAAAAAGGAGAGGAAAAAGAAAAGAAAAGAAAAAAATTCGAAAAAATAAAAAATAATATTAAAAAATTAGACGAATAGTAAACGGGGTAGATTTGGGACAAAAGTAAAAGTTTGGGGTTTTTTATGAGACAAAAAAAAGTTTGGGATATAATTGAGACAAAGACTAAAGTTGGGGGTTTTTTAGGGAATTTGGCCAATGAAAGTCCTGGGATTTCTCGAAAAGGGGATTTCTAAGGTACAATACTGTCTTAAAAGGGCTCGAAAAAAGAGACAAAAGCTAGGAACGGAAAGAGGACAAAAGAAAGGGAGAGGGGGCAAAAAGGAAAAGCACAGGTAATCCTCTACTTTAACCAAGCACTATTGCACTCATCAATTACCTGCTACCCTATTTGATTTTCCCCCCTTTTCTGGCCAATAATCAATTAATTACTTTCCCTCGGAAAAAAAAAACAAAAGACAAAACAAAGATTACTTCTCTTAGAAGCATGCATACCCCCGAGAGAAGTTTTGTTTTTGGAAAGCGACGTAAATGGTCTCTGAACTATAGCTAAATACGCAACGCAATTTTTGAATATCTAGTACATTTTTAATTTAATCTCTAGGCTATATGTAAATATTCAATATTTTCTCGGAACTTAAACCGACGGAAGAATGACATTGGATATTTTTATATACTATGGACTAAATTGAATATTTATAAAAAATTCAGGGACAACGTTGCGCATAAGTTCATGGACCACATTAAACAAATTAAAGGTTCTGGGACGACAATATACATTGAGCCAAAATTCATGAACCATTTGTGTAATTATCCCAAATTTTTTAAGTCAAAATAACATGTTATAGCATAGCAAGTTGTGGAGTATTATGATGTACGAAGGCAATTTACAATAAAAAACAGTGATTCGGGACTTATAAGATAATTGTTATATTTACAAAAGTTTACGTATTGGAAGATAATTTAAGACAGTGAAACTTACTTTACTAATATAAAACATAATCCATGGACTTCATTTGCATCTACGATACACCAAGCTAATTCGCGAACCTTAATTTCAAGCTAAATTACTCAGTTCAAAGTTAATCATAGTACTTCCTATAAGGTAAATAACATCGTCTTAAGAGATGTTTACTCCTTCTAACAATATTGTAATTTTGCAATAAAAGTCATACTTTGTAGTTTTTGTAATTAGTGGATATAACCCGAACAATTGTAATTTGACCAATCTTGTCATAATCTAGATTGCACGTCCAATAATTAGTTTCCCTTTTCATGTAGTAATTTAGTTATTACAGTTCATAACACGAGTCAATTGCCTTGAACTAGTAATTTGTCTTAGATTATCGTAAGAGACGGGACTTATCATTGCTAATTGACGATCAATAATCGTCAATTACTTTACGTTTCGCGACTTTTGAATATTTGTCACTAGTAATTATCCATAATGTTGTAATTTTCCTCAGATGATCAAGACTCCGAAATACGACGGGTTCGTAAATGACATAGCCTTCCGGATTGAAAATGATGACAATTGTACCGGTAGTTTGGTATGGCCTGTCGAGGTTGAGTTCCGGGGTTTGGTCTTTGCCATACCCACATAGGAATGCTATGTCTCCTTTGTAGTTTGGAATACCGGACGGTCACACATTGGATGGGACTGTTGAAATTATCTACAAGAAATGCACAGAGAGATTCTTTCCGTCTAGTTTTTGGGCCAGGCCCAATCCCTCGAGCTTAGCCCAAAATTTGAAGGTATATTTTTTGTTGCAAGA